ACCAACTCTTGGATTTAATATAGCTCCTTTTATCAACCAGTTCAAGGTATGAAGTTGGTGGGTGTCTTCCAGGCACAGTTCCAAAGCCTGCAGCTGTCTAGCTGTTTAGTTTTGATGTAAACTGCAAGAAAACTGAAGAGCTGAAACTCTTTGGTATTGTTGAAGTTATCAAGAGAGCTTTATGTGACCAGACAGGGACCTTGAGATAAACTAAAAAGGGTAACATTTGTTTTAGAACTGCTGTGGGAGAAATTTTGTCTGCATAATGAAAGATCCAGTGTTACTCTGCAGAAGAGTGACTGTGCTGTTATCTCCTTCATCACCTTGCATCCCAGCAGCCACGTTTCAAAAGGAGTTAGATGGGTGTATTTTGCATTTTGTCTGTCTCTTACAGGCATTACAGTAATTCCTAGAAACCTTTGCATTATGATTAAGTCTGTTAACTTTTTGCTTTTTAATGGCTATTGATGCCTGAAGTTATGGCATATGCTCTTAGGTACCTGTTCGTGTGTATTTGGATCTCTCTACGTTACCATGTCTACCCTTGAGCAAGCCAGCAGAGCTTTTGAGGCTAGATCTCATGAACCCTCTTTTGAACAGCTCCAGCAGAGAAGTCAAGGTGAGTTGTGTATACCTGAAGTTCAAAGTGCTTAACTGCCGTTCTGCAGAGCTGCTTGTTCATTGCTCACCTTGGCCAAAAATTTCCACACAGAATTTACTTGTCTGAAGGTATCTCTGGAATGGATTGAAATGGTTGGAACTACTTCATTTTCTTACTTCTTTGAAAAGAGTGTAAATGATTAAACTAATATTTTAAATATTTTTAGGTACAAGTTTGTAAGTCTGGTCAAGTCACTGCAATTCCCTTCTGGTATCACATACATCTAGATGAAGACCATAGCTTGAATACGTCTGATGAGTCCTCGCACTGGAAACAAGCTGCAGTTGTTCTTGATGACCCCATCCAAGTTCAGGTCGGAGATGAACTTGTGCTTGATGTTCAACACCATAAAAGCAATATTAGCATTACTGTAAAACGGTGAAGAATGTCATCTGTAATCTGATTTGTGGTTAATTACCTATGCATAAAGTGACTGTTCATAACATCACTGATGTTAACTTTAATATATTAAAGTCTAAATTTTATCTACCGTTCAAAAACGCTGTTTTGTTGCTTTAATGGTAGATACTTAGTTTCCACTGCTGGACTGAAACTTGTACTGTAAGGGTATCTTACCAAGCAGTTAGGGAAGGTATTGTCTTCACTGCAGCAAATACCTGATGGCTACCTATTGTAGTGACAATAGCAGTGGGACAGACTTCTCTTGCTACCGTATCATCTGTAGTAAGAGAAGAAGCATCCGAATAGAATCACAGAATGGTTTGGGTTGGAAGGGACCTCAAAGATCATCTAGTTCCAACCCCCCTGCCATGGGCAGGGAAACCCTCCACTACACCAGGTTGCCCAAAGCCTCATCCAACCTGGCCTTGAACACTTCCAGGGATGGGCCATCTACAACTTCTCTGGGCAACCTGTTCCAGTGCTTCACCACACTCTGAGTGAAAAATTTCTTCCTTAGATCTAATCTAAATCTCCCCTCTTTCAGTTTGAAGTCATTGCCCCATGTCCTATCACTACACACCCTTGTAAAAAGTCCCTCCCCAGCTTTCTTGTGGGCACTCTTTAGATACTGGAATGCTGCTATAAGATCTCCCTGGAGCCTTCTCCAGGCTCAACCACCTCAACTCTCTCAGCCTGTCTTCAGATGCCTGTACCAGAAATAAACAGCTGTGGCTATTCAGGATAGTCCTGGTTTCTCAAATTGCAGTTCCATTCTCAGTTGCCAAAACATCCTACTGAAGTTAAACTTCAGTGTATTGAGATGTTAGCCTTGTAGTAGGGACTGTAGCACCATTCCAGTTACAGTATCTCAAGTTAGTGTTGCACATACACCATTATAAAAAGTTGTAAAGGAGAGACGTCAGATAATTTATGTTGTACGGTGGAAGGCAAAGCTAGTAAGCTTTTAGAATCCCTCACAGAATCATTTCTGGTAATACAATGTATTTTTTTTTTGTCTGTATGAAAGCAGTATAAAATACTACGTCAGTCACCACAGTACTCCTGCATCTCTTCTGCAGGATTACATTTTGGTATAATGCAGGTAGCAAGTTCCTTTTATTAAATTTGTATCCAAACGGAAGACTAACAAAAGCTTCTCACTCTACATTGATTCTACCTGTGTAAGAGATGTGAGGAAGGCTGTTAGCAACATATTTTTTACTGTCAGCGCTGTCTCTTGAGCGTAGAAGAGGCACTTCTGTGATCTTTCCTTAACAGGCATCTGTAGAAAAAGCCATCCACAAATCATTTTTCTAGCATGTCGCTGCATGCAAGATCTGCATGTGCTCTCAGGTCAAACATTTCGGATAGCTCCCTGGAGTTAAACTGAGAGGGCCTGATGGAGCTGTGGCTGTCTGCCTGATCAGCTGTCAACTGAACCTGCACCTGATAGATTGCTGTAATAAAGCTCCTAGAAGGGTGGAGGAAAGGGCTCCAATTTTTTTTTTTTTTTTCCCAAAACACAGGTAATGACTAGGTCAAGCTTTCTAAAAATAAAATAACTGGATACCATCCTTTATCCAAGGGGTACAATGCATAACAAAACGTAAGTGAATCAGAGTAGGGCAGAGGCTTTTCATACTACTTAGATAACAGCTTTTCTTAAAGAAAACCCAACCAAACAAACAACCCCAAACAAAACCATGATCCATAAAATCTAAATTACTATGTGATACAACTAAACCTAGTAGGTGCAGGACATTTTCACCCAAGTGCAGTTTTATAGAGAAGCACTTAGGCTTCTCATACTGGAAGACTGCTGATAAAAGCCAAAACATTAAATAATAGTGGTTAGGCATATTTATTAAGCTTTTAGCAATCAATAAGACAGCAAAATGAGTTAAAGAAAAATTAAGTATATATTCTACCCTTACTCAATGACACTAAGTAAAGGGCTGAAAGTGACCACTACTGCGTTTTCAAGCAGTGTGTTAAGTAAGGCAGGAGCAATCCTTAAAAGACTTCTGATCAAAAGCTGGGAGATAAGGCATAAAACAACAGAGGAACAAAGATGGATAACACAAAGATGAAGGACTATTTGCACATGAACTTCTTTATACAAAAACATGATAGGTAATGCTGTGGAATACTGGTGTAGTTTTCAAAAGACAGAGTAGGTGTCATGGAAAAAGACTTCTATTTATTTTGGAAATTCAGTAACAATCTTTATTGGAAAGGTATGATCCTGTAAGCTACTGCAATGAAAAAATAACTTTTCTTCCAGGAAAAAAAAAATAAGGCAGGAAT